ACCAACCCAGGCTCTCTTGAATAGACGACAACTCTCTGCCCAAAGGAAGTCTACACGTCTCAATTTCCCTCATTGGAGACACACGAAAGAGTCATAACCATGAATGAAATAGGGCCATCCCACTCGGTCAAATGAGACAGTACGGAGGAGGTTCGGTTCCATGGCACTTGGATTGACCAGTTATTAAGGTTAGACTAAGAAGAAGCTTATAAAGTCCTACTTTAATTAACCTAGTTCAACTCACTCTTTCCTCAAATGAATGCACTTGAAGGAGACCACAATCATAAGTAAAGTCTTTCCCGGAAGGGTCTCCCTGTTACTACCATTTTATTTGTTAGGGCTCATGTCATCGAAAGTAGTTATTGTTTTCGATACGAAGATTAACTTTGAGGTAACCAAGGAAAAATATTTTCAACCTAACATTACCCTACTAGGGTCATACTACTTCCTAGTACTAAGCTCTACTCAAGCAAATAATAAGACCATAACTAGCCAAGTTATGCAAGTTGGGACCCATGGCCTTGCAAATGCCATCAAGCAAGTGGATGTAGTGGCTTGCCTTGATGAAGTGAAAGGTCAAAAAACTCCTGGTTTTCACCTCCTAGATTAGTTCTCTCTAGAAATAATTTCAAAGCATTTTTAACAAAGAGCAAAACAACAAAACTCAAATAAACATCAAACTTTATCGGCAGAAAGGAAATTAAATAGAAAAAATAAGGCAAAAAGAATCAATTTATTTGGACTTATAGTTTAGGAATTATTCATGGTCAAAGTTGGGTCAAAAAAGCATTTTAATAGATTTAAACTAAAAAAACAAAAAATCCCAAAATGTGCCACGTCGAAGGCGTATTTTCGAAATACACATTGGCCAGGGTACTGCTGTGGGAGGTAAATGATTCACTGACGGGTGGGGTCCACCTGTTTGGTTTTTCTTAACAAAAGATATTGAGGCATGGTAATCTGATGTCTCCCATCATTTTTAACGTTGTTGCGGATATGATGGCGGAACTCATAGGTAGAGCCAAGGAGGACGATCAGGTAGGTGGGCTCATTCCTCATCTTGTTGATGGTGGAGTCTCCATACTATAGTATGCGGATGATACTACTATATTCATGGAACATGACATGGCAAAGGCTAGAAACATGTAGTTGGTCGTGTGTCTTTTTGAACAACTGTCTGGTTTGAAAATAAACTTCAACAAGAGCGAACAGTTTTGCTTTGGGCACGCCAAGGAAGAGCAGGAAGATT